GGGAAATCTATATTCTAGCTATATAAACTATAGCTACCATACTGAATGAGTAATTATTGACAAGGACCATTATTTCAGAGATTATATAGAATGATGGGCTATCTTTGTTCAGAAAATTAGGTATTGCCACTCAAATCTAAAAAGATAAAGTCTATCTTTTCTTTCTATTCTATTACATTTGAAATAACTTGAAAAGGTGATTCTTTTTATAAGCTAAATATTTGGCTTCATGCTAAAATTAGTTGGTTAATATGCCTTTGGTTCTAGAGTGGTACCTGGGAGAAAAATGGAAGGCCTAGTTTATATTCTTAGTAAGAAATTTGAATACTAAGGAATAATAAGCTGTAATTTAGAAAACTGGATTATGAAGTGGCATTTTGTTTGGTTTTCATTTAATTAGTTTGCTTGCTTCGAAAAGAATTGACCATTTTAAGTCCCTTCTTGGTTTAGATCATAGAAACTCTGGGATTATAGGAATAAGCATTGGAAGGGACCTTAAATGTCCTCTAATTTAATTTCCTTAGTTTACAGAAGATGACCCTGAGACTCTGAGAGGTGGGGTGACTTGTCCAAGAGGACATAGGCAGGAAGTAACTAAGATGAGATTCCAACTGAGGCACATGGCTTAAACATAGTAGGAAACAAGATATAGAGAGAACAATAGAAAATAAAACGAGTGATTTTAATTACATGTTTTATAAACATATTTTGCACAAAAAAGATAATCTAAAATGAACAGGAAGCAGTTAACTAAGAGAAAATATTTGCAGCAAGTTGTTCTGATAAAGGTCTCATTTAAAAATACTTGAGAAATTGATATAAATGTAAATTAAAATTTGAAATTTATATTCAAATCTATATTTGAATTCACTATGCCTATTTTGTTGTTAAGGGTTTTATTTGTTATTTTTCCCATTGGGGGAGTGAGGGAAAGAAAAATATATCATTGTCTGGTAATTTAAAAGTAAAAATAGGTTAAAAAAACAAAAGAAGAAAAAAATTCATAAGACTAAGAGCCATTCTTCATTCGACCAATGGTCCAAAGACTAGGCTGTATTCAAAGAAAAAATGCTAATCTATGATGAGATACATGAAAAAAAAACCCCTACAAATCACTACCAATTACAGAAATGCAGGTTAGAACAATTCTAAGATTCCAATGCATACCTGTCAAATTGTCAAAAAAGACACAAAGAGAAAATGAGAAATACTGGATAGACAGTAGGAAAAAAAACCATTAATGCACTCAGTGAAACCGTAAATTGGCACAGCCATCCTGGAATGCAATTTAGAACCATAAGCAAAAAAAGTCATCCTTTGATTCAGCGTTGCCACTGAAGAAATGAGAGAAAGAGGGAAAGGATTCATACGTAAAAATATATTAATAGCATCTCTTTTTGTAGTGTCAAGGAATGGGAAAGTAAGAGAATGACCATCAAATACAAATACTATTGCATAATAAGAATTGACAAAAGGTTCAGTTTCAGAGCAACTTGGGAATACATATTAATTGAAGAAGAATAAATTGAGCAGAACTAGAAGAATAATTCATACAATAACAAGAATATTAGAAAGACAAACATTAAAGATCTAAAAAGAGGTGAGAACTCTGATCATGCAAAGCCCAACCACAACTCTGGAAGATCAATGATTAGTATACCACCTGCTCCTACAAAAGAGATGAGGGGCTCAGGTTATAGAATTCAACATATATTCTAGGGAATAACAGTGGGAATTTTACTTGATAATGTATATTTGTTACAAGTTTTCTGATATAAAGATTTAAAGAGAGGGCAGTAAACCACCTCCCTTCTTATCCCTAGATCAGAGGTTCTTAGCCTGGAGTCAGTGAACTTTATATACACACAAATATGCAATACACATGTATATAAAACTGCAAATATACTAACCTTGAATTATCTTTTCTAAACCTGGACTTTGACCTTTTTACTCCGTTGTCCCTACACAACCAAATCTAACTTCAATTTTTTTCTGCAATCATCATATACACAAGTTATCTCTTTTCATACAAATGTGATTCTACCAAGTTGTGAACACTTAGCTTCACCATCTTTTATATCCTTTCAATCTGCCATAACTTATAGTCCCTTCTAATTTGCCCTGTTCCATTGCCCTTTAGACCTCTCAGCAAATAGTTCTCTTTTCACATAGTTTTTGGTCTTGAAAAGGAATATGATTAAGTAATTTATGATAAGATGTTAATAGCTGAAAATGGGTGTATATTCATTTTATAGAAATGGAGTCAGAGACACAATGCATGGCTCTCTGAAAGGAATTTTACTTTTAGACAGTGAAAGATGCTTTGAGGATAAAATCACTTCTATAGAACTCTACAAATAACTCATATGGACTGCCACCTACTCTTTCTATGTGAAAGTATAGTTCTTTCACCCAAATGAGCAACCCAGCTTCACCACTGCTGTTATTGGAAATACTCTTTTTCTTTGTAGATGGAACATAGTGGATAGTGCTAGCAGATAAGAGGGCTGACCTTGGAACAAGTCTAAACCTCTAAGCATTCTAGACAACTCTTCAGATTATAAATTGCTGAGAAGGTAACAGTCTAAATTGGTAGAAAGAGTTTCCTCATCTAAGAGTTTCTTATATTAGTAAAATTAAAAATGAAACCCCTATACTCTCCTGTTTTCCTGGTTACCAAACGTAAGTAAACTGGTTACAATAATGAAGATCAAAACTTTTCATCTTTAGATCATAGTGATAGGTTACAGTAATAGTAATATATTTCCATGAATTTTAACTTTCTTTATGAATTAAAATAAACTACTGATATAAAAAAAATCAGTGTTTTATTTATCTCCTCCATGAAACTTTTCCTTGTAATAAAAAAAAAGCAAGACTAACACAATTTCCTCCTCTATAAAAAGAGTGGGTTGGATGAGTTGACCAATGTCCCTTCTAGCTCTGTTTTTTGTGATCTTTATAAACAGCAGCACTGCATCAAAATAGTCTCCCACCTCTTTATGGAGAAGAGTGAAGTGTATTTCATCATCTATCCTTAGGGATCAGTATTGGTCACCTTCTCTTTCTTCTTTACTAATATAAAAATAATAATTGCAATAATAACCTGGCAGGGTAAAGGGAATATATTCTCCCTAATAGTTTCCTATCATTAACAAAGCTTTGGTCCAGTATATACTATCAGTTTCCTCTTCAACAAATACATACACACACACACACATCTATATCTATATCTATCTATCTATCTATCTATCTATCTATCTATCTAAATGAGAATGAGCCACAGAACTGAACGGAAGACGTTTAGACTTTTAAAGCTGAAAGAAATCCTGGAAGTTATCTATTCTAACCTTTTCATCTTGTAGATTAAGAGATTGAGACTAAAAGAAAGTAAATTATTTGAGCCAGGTTGCTTAATGTTGAAGCAAAACTAAAGCAAGCTAGATATCTTGACTCAGTCCAGGGAGTAGATTAGATGAGTATTGAGATCCCTTACTCTCAAATTCTTTGATTCTATGATTCTGTCATCTTTTTCCCATATTATACCACCTCAACTTTCTTATAGTAGATTGACTTCATAAGTTTCCTTCCCAAGAGATGCCATAATTTAGGAGAGTCCATACCTTACACTAGAAAAAAAAAAGAAAATGCTAAGTTTCTTATGCATTTTCTTTTTTCTTTCATTTTATTGGTGCATTTGTACTTACCAAGTAGTAAGCTGGCTTGGCAAATTTTAAATTACTATAGACTAGGTTTCATTTGTACATACTTAACTAAAAAATTAAAAATTATGGATGCTAACATGATTTCTAAATTATGTTGTATTTATCACACTAGGACTGATTCCTTGTAAATAAAATTATTCTTTAGACAATTACTTTAGCTTTAGATACTACTTTTAACATTGCCTAAATTTAACATCAGGTTTTTTTTCAAAACTACGTATAGTTTCATAATTGTACAACTTTCCCATTTTCTATATTTGACTAGTAAAATTATATCCACAGTGACATTTGTTATATATCTGAAAGAGTAGCTACACAACTACATAGCTACTCTCTGTTTCTCAGCTCCCTTTTTACCTTACTGAATGAGAAGTATGGGAATTTCCCTATGTAAGAAGCAATATCTCTAACATTGTGGTGAAATATCACTTAAAGGTGAATCATGCTCTCTAAATGTAAACCTGAGACAGATAGGATTTATTCTTTTTAAGGTGGATGATATATTTTGTATATTCATTATACTTCTTTATTAATTTCTGTAGGGGAGAAAAGAAGTCTTTTTTGCCTGTTTTCTCTTTCAAAGATTATACAGCCATGGAATTTCCCCTGATGATTTGCAATTTTTTTGAAAGTGACGAGGGATAGCTTAAAATTCATTTGGGAATTTATAGAAGCATACATTTTTCCTTTACTTGATTAAAATATGTATTAATAAACTTTAATTCAAGATAACACTGTTGATTGCCCACTAATTAAATTCACGCTCTCAATGGACTCTAATCTATTGGAAGAATTACACCAATAGAGTTTATGATTCCCCTAGCAGGAAGTAATCTCTCCCACTTCTGAGCTACGGCAGGTCCATTGTACCTCTCATTGAATTTCCAAAGTATAGCTTGTAGAATGGTATTTTAATTTTTTTTTCATTTTCTGTTCCAAATTATCTCCCTCCACCTCCTATCTTCCCCACTAAGAAGGCAAGAAATATGATATATGAATTTAGTTTACATTTCTTAGCTTTTCTACTCCTTGTTGGCAGGAGCTATCTTACTCTCCTTTGTATTAAGAATTATGCTCTGCTCATGGTTGTTGACTGAAGATGAGCTCTTAAGATTTTTTATGAAGAGGAAAGGTTGCAATTTATAAGACTATTAAATATATCCATACATAACCCTGCCCACCTCCACCTGCAAACAACAGGAAGCAAATGACCAAGACACATAATAGAGTCATCTTGGTGCAATAGAAAAATTGTTGCATTTGTAGTCAGAGTACCTGGATTCACATCCCATTTCCGTGGCTGTCTGGGCCAAGTCACTTCCCTTCCTTGTACTTCAGTTTCCATATCTGTAAAAAAAAGGGAGTATTGGACTCCATGACCATTCAGGTCCTGTTTGGTTCTAAATTTATTATCCTCTAGACAAAAGGGGACTTTATTCACCTTGGTTTTTCTATCTAATGTTATGTTAAAACATCATACTGCAAATTAAGAAAAAGGAAAAAATAAAACAACTAATAGTAAAGATTTTAGCATTCAAGGGCAGGTGATGGGCTCAAGTTTTGAAACTGAACAAAAGAGTCTATTCATTAGACTTAAACTTGAGAGTTAAGAAACTTGCTGAAAGGAGGGACATTACAAAAAAGAATTATACTCATAAGCAGATGAACAATGCTTAGAAACAACTTATTTGTTCAGTTTTTTCTGAATTGGAAAATGGTTTCCATTTACAGGCCATAAATAATTGGGAATATTTTCTTTCCTACAAGTTTGAGTTATCTCACTTTTAAAAAGAAAGCCTGATCCTTTATACAGGAAAACAATTTAGATATTTGCATAACAATCAACCAAAGTTGCTAGTAGATAAAAGAGGCTTCAGTTGAAGAAGTGCCAAAAAACAAACCAGCTCTCTTTTAATATCAGAGCTCCACGTTGCCTAAATGTCACTTTTGATCATGTTACACTCTCTGTGGAAACAATATATGAGTATGTTTTTAAAAAATACTCATTTTATGGGATGGTTATGAGTAGTTAGGATGGGGAAATGCTTGGAAAAGGTTTCTAGGAGGAAAAAGTTGGCACATAAGAAATGCTGGGTGGGTGATTTTATAATGTTTACAATCATAGACTCCTTTACTATAAAAATATTAGTTTAAACTTTTAATGACTAATTTTGTTACAAATGTTAACCAGACTGTTGCATAAGGAAATATCAATAAATTTCAAGTAGTTATAAGGTAAAAACCATATTCTATGCTATGAGGCATTGACAATACAATTGTAGTTATCGGTACCATACAACTATTTAATATAACATTGAGAATGAAATATAACACTTCTGAAATATAAAAAAGCACATTGATTGTGATTTGTAATTCATTACAACTGATCTTTACTCCCAATTCCCAGTAAATTAGTTCCCTTAAATATTTCCAAAATATAAACTGATTGATTTGCCTTTTGCAAAATAAATGACACTATAGAAGATAATTTTTACATTTCCCATTACAAATGACAATTGTGATTTAACACAATCATATATTTTTTTATTTAACCATGAATAGAATGGATTTTGTTCCTGGGTGCCAACTGCAACACTAAATATAATCTAAATTTAATATAAATGGCAATGAATATTTTTCTGACATTTAAATTTAAATTTTATTGATATTTAAAAACTGAAAACAAAGGTGTGGATAACTTTATAGGAATATACAACAAACAAAAATATTCATAATGAGAAATTTTTCCCCTTTTATCATTTGTTTCACCATAAGCAGCTGTGATATGGGACTATGCTCACTATATTTGGAATCAAGACACCTTGACTAAGATTCTCTGTCACTTACTAGATGCATGACATATGGAAACAAACTACCTCCTTGTGACTCATTTTACCCTATAAATAAAATCATATCTCTTCTTTGTATCTCCTGGGATTTTTGTTAGCCCAAAAATGTACTATATATAAAGTGTTTTGTTAATCATGAAGTATGAGTAGTAGTAAATAATAACTGTTGATATTTCATTACCTTTTTTCTATTGAACATACCCTAAATGTATAAATTCAGCCAACTAACTTATTCAGGACATGACTATCTAGTTTTTGTTTTTCCCACAGTATGTATTTTTAAAATATTTATTTTGAATAGATGAATTAAGATGGTTATTATTACTTCTTTGAAAAGATGGGCAAAGAACATTTGAAAGAAATTTCTATTGCTCTTCAGAAAGTACTTGAGAAAAAAAGAAACTAGCAAGGGAGTATGGTGTTGATATTACTGGTTTTAAATTATGTGCATATTTCAATTGTCCATACTATTTCAGATCTCCATCATTCATCCAACCATTCATTCATTCAGATAATCATTCACATGCTAGCTGCTCTGTATAATTTCATTTAATCACCTGCTAAAGTTTTCTTCCCCAGCTCAGGCATTCCTAGAATCTTTTATCTGGGTTTTCCTTACACTCTCTTTGGCCTATATGATTCTCCACCATTTACTGTTGCTGTACCTCACTGGTTCCCATTTAGGGACCTGTGAAGCCCTGGGGAATTTGGCCCTAAGGGCTCATGCAAAAAGTTTTTTAGTGGCATTTGAAGCAGTAAATATTTTTAGTATGTTAAATTAACCAGAAGGTTTATAAAACATTTTTTGTTGCTGTTCTTTAAAGGGCTTTTCAGAACAAAATATGTTGGCAATCACTGCCTCTGTCTCTCCTCCACATTTGTTGCATCTCTCTCCCTCCCACAATCAAATGTAACCTTCAGAAAACATTTTGCGTCTTTTTTATTTTTTGTGCCTTTCATATAATAAGCTACTAAAGAGTCATTGAGTTGAATCCCATTATTTGTGAATTCAGCAAATAGTTGGATCTCTACTATATATTAGGTTCTACATTATGCCTTATGAATAATTAGCTATACATATTTCAGCTTCCATGATTTCTATTATGATGAGAAATAGCTAAAAGTAAGTTTAAATATGCTGATTATCTCTGTATTCATTACCTTTCACAATACATGTGAGTAATTTTGAAAGCATATATTGTTATGTATTAGCTTATTGATGGTGAGTTCACTGACCAAGGATAGAATGCTAGATTTTAGCCTGAAGGAAACATGTTAATAAAATCTTTAAAATGGTTATTTTGTGCAGCATGCTATATAATTAGGGCATCCAAGAAAGTCTGTTTTAATTTACAGTTTGCTTAATAACAGTCAGAAACAAAAAGGCTGTAGAGGGGCCAAGATTTTAATTCTGATTCCACTGGTGAACTATTTGCATGACAAGTTTTCATTAATTTCATTGTGGTAAGCACTGTGGGAAGAGTACTTAGTTACTATACATAACTAAGAAGTTACATTTTGGGGAGAGGAGAGGGAAGGGAAGGAGGAAGAAAAATTTGGAGCTCAAAATCATATGAAAATGAAAGTTGAAAACTATCTTTTCATGTAATTAGAAAAAAATAAAATACTATTTATCAAAAAAAAAGAAATTAATGTTATACCTATAACCAGAGTGAAATCAACAATATGAAGTGAGCCTATGATCCATTTTGTCTTTTAAGACTTTGAAAATACTTTGGTGTGCTCTATGATGCTGTCTAAATTTAAAACACTAAATGGACACACTTGCCATAGTTTAAGAAGAAACTTACTAAATACTAGAGATAGGAGGTAAGTTAACAAATGTCATGTCACTGGTAAAGACGAGCATTTACATCAATTACTTATGATAGAGATTCATTTGACATTAAAACATTCAAACTAATGGAGGACAGGGATGTGTCTAATATAAGAAAAGAACACAAAATAATGAAATTATACACACACACACACACACACACACACACAATTTCATGGACTGGGGAGGAATGTTGGAAACCCAGAGAAAAAATTAAGTAATTTTGAAGGACCAATGGTGATGATGGTCATGAGGAAGGGAGGGTGTGATATAAGTGTCAAAGTAAAAAGTATGAGAGATCTAGACAGAGGAATTAGAAGGATATCACAATGAGAATAGGGAGGACCAGATAGTAGAAGTAGTAACTGTTATTGACGTTGGTTGTCATAAAATGACAAGGCTGAAAAATGGGTCGTAGGCTCACTTCATATTGTTGATTTCACTCTGGTTATAGGTATAACATTAATTTCTTTTTTTTTTGATAAATAGTATTTTATTTTTTTCTAATTACATGAAAAGATAGTTTTCAACTTTCATTTTCATATGATTTTGAGTTCCAAATTTTTCTTCCTCCTTCCCTTCCCTCTCCTCTCCCCAAGATGGTGAGCAGCCTAATGTTGCTATGTATAATAATACATGTAATGTAGGATGTACATGTTAAAAACATATTTCCATATTAGTCATGTTGTGAAAGAAGAAACAGAACAAAAGGGAAAAACCTCAAAAAGGGTGAAGAGGGTATGCTTCGATCTGCATTCATACTCCATAGTTCTTTCTCTGGATGTGGATAGCATTTTCATCATGAGTCTTTTGGAATTGTCTTGGATCATTGTATTGCTGAGAAAAGCTTAGTCTCTTATAGTTGATCATCATACAATGTTGCTGTTACTGTGCACAATACTCTGCTTGTTCTGTTCATTTCCCTTTGCATCAGTTCATGTAAGTCTTTCCAGGTTTTTTCTGAAATCTGCTTGCTCATCATTTTTATAGCACAATTGCATTCTGTTACATTCATATACCACAGCTTGTTCATTCATTCCCCAATTGATGGGCATCCCCTTAATTTCCAATATTTTGCCACCACTAAAAAGAGGTATTATAAATATTTTTGCACATGTATTTCCTTTTCCCTTTTTTATGATTTTGTTTTGGGATATAGATCTAGTAGTGGCTTTGCTGGATCAAAGGGTATGCACAGTTTTATAGCCCTTTAGGCATACTTCCAAATTGCTCTCCAGAATGACTGAATCAGTTCACAGCTCCACAAACAATGCATCAGTGTTCCAATTTTCCTACATCTTCTCCAACCTTTATCATTTTCCTTTTCTGTATAGGCTTGAGGTGGTACCTCAGAGTTATTTTAATTTGAATTTCTCTGATCAATAATAATTTAGAGTATTTTTTCATATGACTATAGATAGCTTTAATTGTTTCATCTGAAAACTGCCTGTATAACATTAGTTTCTACCATTATTTTGTGCCAATGAAGACACAACTTGAAAATTTGTCAAACAAAAGAAACAATAGGAAAGGTACATATATGAGATAAAACATTAACCAATACACAATCAATCAAATAAACAACTACATAAATAGGTAATCAAAAATAATTTGTTTGACCTCAAGAGTCAGCTATTCGCAGGATTTGAAGCTGAAAGGGACCTTAGAAATCATCCAGTTCAACTCTCTTACCTCATAGATGAGGAAAATAAGACATAAGGTGTAACATTTAAAGTCATATAGGTGAGAACTGGCAGAATCCAGAATTGAATCCAGATCTATCACATACCAGTGCAGACACTGATCCACTTTCTCTCACCGGATGGTAAAATCTAATTTCCCTGAGTGTGATTTGGAATCTGGTTGGAGGATCAACAGGAGAATGTAGGTAAAAAGTGGCCCTGGACCTAGTTCATCGATGACAATCAATAACTTGTGAAAATGCAACATCAGATGCTGCAAAACTGATTGTATTCAATTACTTAATACACAAGTAATTGAAGTCTTATCATAAGAGAAAAAATTAACTACTTGTAAACACTGAAACATCTATTGAATGGGAGGAAATAGCCATTTTTATATGCCTAATGTGTCTGACATTGTGATAAACAATACAAACATCTGATTTGATTTTCACAGCAACTCTATGAGGTAGATACTGTTATTTTCTCCATTTTATAGATGAAAAAATGGAGACAGACAAGGTGATGCCAAATTTGAACTAGGTCTTCCTGATTCCAAGCCTCAGATCTCAATCCACTGCATGGCCTTGCTGTCCCATGAAAGGATTCCCTCCGTTATTATTCTTGAATACCCCAAGTGTCTTGGGTTATCCAAAACTTAACATAATTGTGAAGCAACACAATACAAAGACTAGAGGACTGGACTCAGAGTCAAGAAGACCTGGGTTTAAACTCACTTTTGACAACAGCTGTGTGACCCTGAGGTGACAATATCTCTGAGCCTCAGTTTCTTCAGCTATAAAATGAGCAAGTTGGACCAGATGCCCCCAAAGGTCCCTTTTAACTCTAAACCTATGATCCTTTGGCATAGCCTGATTTCTGTTTACCAGTTATTTCCTACATTTTACTATAGATGATATCTTTTCTCTCCACATATTCAGAACACAATACAATCCTAATGATTAAGTATAATGTCTCCAAAGAAGTCATTTATGGACAGAACAATTTACCAAATGAAATTGAAAGCAGGCATGCTGCTTCTCTTTCTTAGTAGATATGGCTAGCTGAAGATGGTCCACTGATCATTTTCAGTATAAAGTATAAAATATTAACACATTAGGTTGGTATAAAAGGTACATCAAGCCTTCAGAGTTTTGTGGTCAATCCTAGGTTTGTTAATAAAACCACTGCTCCATTCTGCATAATGGATTTTTCCAGCCTGTTCTGAAAAATCAAAGAAGCCCCTACTGAGAGGAATCAATGTAATGGAAGTCCTGACTAAAGAAACCATGGAACATGTGCTTTAAAATTTCTAAAATAAATTAGCTCGTCAGGTAGTCTCACTTGTCAGACGTTATTTTAATCTGATTATTTTCTAACTTCAACAGCCAGTTGAAAGCAAAGTCTCTAGGAAGTACAAATGTGCCCACCATGAAAATCTTTAGAGACCCTTCTCTGAAGTCTTCAGCCTTGTAAAAATGCAACTCATTTGTTCACAGTAGAAGAAAAAAACAGAGGATCCTGAACCAGGACAAATTCCAAAGAAAGGGCAGCCCTGGGAAGTAGAAAGTCATTTTGCTTCCATAAGATAACACCAATATTTGTTGTTGTTCTGGATCTCGGATTCTATCAATGTAGGGAGCTGCTAGGTAAATGTAAATAGATTTAAAAAAAACCCTCCCTTTATCAAAGCAAACTCACAACTATTTTGTAACTTAGATTTTAGTTATCTGGGGATTTAAGGGTTAAGTGACTCCCTGTCACACAGCAAACAGTTATCAGAAGGGGGCAGGAGTTGACATCATTGCTTCCTGATTAAGGATGGTTTCCTATCCACTATGCCATGTTACTTTTCTATACCACTAATAATGATGATGGGACAGCAAGGTGCCACTAGAGCACCCAGCCTGGAGTCAGAAAGACTCATCACCCTGAGTCCAGATCTGACCTCAGCCACTTACTAGCTATGTGACCCTGTTTGCCTGAGTTTTCTCATGTAAAATGAGCTGGAGAAGAGAATGGCAAACCACTCTGCTATCTTTGCCAAGAAAACTTCAAATCGGCCCATGAAGAATCAGATAAAATTGAACACAACAACAACAAATAATGACGACAACCATATTGCACTCACATGGTTTCAGGGTTACAAAGAACTTTATGTATCTTATTAGATCTTTGAAATTCTTTCAGCTCCTCAGGAAAGGGACTGTGACATTTTTGCATCTTTGTATAGAGTCGGCTAAGTAGTGCAGTGAATAGAACATTGGGCCTGGTATAGTAAGACCTGAGTTCAAATCTAATTTAGACACTTAGTTGTATGTGTATGATGTTAGGCAAGTCACATCACCTCTGTCTGCCCCAACTTGCTCAACTGCAAAATGGGAATAATATAGCACCTATCTCTCAGGATAACTGCAGGGATCAAATGAGGTAAAAATTGTGAAGTGTTTAGCACAGGGTCTGGCACAGAGTATGTGCTATACAAATCCTGCTAGTATTGCAACTATTATGAATAATTATTACATCCCCAGGATTTTTTTTTATATCCAGCTTTTTATTGAAAAACCTAGAGAGGGAGAGGTGAGAGGCAGTAAAAGCAAACAAGGCCACTTCTCAGAAGAGCTGCTTCTCATATGAATGGAGTCCATGGACACGCCCTTCCACCTGAGCAGATGACATCTTCTTCTCAAATTTCAGCTCCCCTGAGTATGTCATGGCTCCGACTTGAGTTAGACTCTTGGCACCAATAACTTGGCAGGAGTGCTGGATGCCAGTAATCAAGTAGGGAACAAACTTGCGGATGGACCCTTTGTCTTGCACGGCCCCAGACACCCCTTGAGCCACTTTGTTTTTGTCTGCTTCACTGAAGCAACAGTTCTGGCTGCCGAGGTTCTTGTCCATGGCATCGAGGGAGCCCATCCCCTGGTATTTCTTTAGCCGGATCTCATCAGAGAAGAAGTACTTGCCTGGGGCCTCTGTGGTGGCTGCCAACAGAGATCCCATCATCACTGTGTAAGCTCCAAGGACAAGAGCCTCGGAAATGTGGCCCATGTTTTGGATGCCGCCATCTGCAAAGACGGGGACACCAAAGCACTGTGCATATTCTGAGACCTTGTATACAGCTGTTGCCTGAGTCCGCCCACATGCTAGCACTTCCTGTGTGATGCAGATGGAGCCACTGCCCATGCCAACCCTCAGGGCGTCCACTCCAACATTAATGAGGTTTTTTGCCCGTGCAGCTGTCACCACATTGCCACTGATAACCTGGAGGTTGTTGTATTTCTCCTTGATGTACTTGATCATGTTAATTTGGAAAATGGAGTTTCCTTGGGAAGAGTCCAGCACGACCACATCAACACTGGCCTGGGCCAACAAGTCAAGCCGATACTTCTCATCCTCATGGGTACCGATGGCTGCCCACACAACAGCTGCTTCTTGGTGTCCTTGGATGCCAGGCCTGCATGGACCTGAAGAAGAATAGGGGCAACCCCCAGGATTTTTTTAAGCTTTAATTGAGCCCTGGAAATTAGGTAAATTCAAACTCAATAAACATATGTGAAGGACAGCATATGCAGAAAATTATACTGGATGCTAGAGGAAATACAAACTTTAGAGAAGATATATCCCTTCTCTATCCCCCCATTTAATTTTTTTAATAGAGAAGGTAAATGAAGTCCAGGGAAGTTTAAATGACCTGCCCGAGGTCACATAACTAATAAATATCAAATCTACATCTTGAACACAGGTCTTTTGATCATTCTTCTATAAAGGAGTTTTGGGGTTTTTTACAGATATTGACATAGCCTGAGTTTTAATAAAAAGCCCATTACACTTGTTAAAATTTACAGGAGTCTGATTTCTTTTAAAAAATACTTTATAAAGAGAAAAGAAGCTCAGCTTAATGAAATAATGTTGGGAAAAAAGAAGGAACAAAACTTTACACTTGGGAAATTTTCAAGAGATATATAAACCTTGACTATGAATTCATAGATCATTAGAAACTGATTTTAGTTAAAGAATAAAAAATATTCAAGAAAGATTTCTTTATTACCGTTTAATCACTGATAATCTCCTTAACTCTTCCATCTGCTTTTCAAGACTTTGGTCTGAAACTCAGCAGCAGGTCTCAGATGATGTGGCAAGAGAACATATCAAACCTCTGCACATGCACTCACTGGAGAGCAGCTCATTCCTAAGGGCAGCAGGAAAAGCACCCACCACAGGCAGCTTGCCAACTATTGGGATTAGGGTAGAATGGTTGTTGTGCTTACTTAATGACTAATATTTGCTTTTAGGCTAGAAACTAGGTTTTAAATACGCCTGGTGGACCTGAATTAACTCCCTGTTCTTCCCTACCCTGGCTTTTCCTTCAAATGAAAAACCTGATTTCATAAACACTGTGTGATCATTCCAGATCTGCAGATGCCCCCTGCTTATTTGAGGCAGTAACATGCAGGGCTCTAAACTAGCTTGGGCATTCCTATCATTTTGTACAGAAAGATTATTCTATTGAAGAAGATATCCAAGGGCTCAGAATTGTATTTCACTGAAAGGAAATGTTGAATTTATATTCTCCTTTTCCCATCTATGATTCTTTCAGTCTCTCTCTCTCCTTCTCTCCCTTTCCCCTTTTTCATATTACTCTTCTTCTCCCTATTCCTCTTCATCTTCTTCTCCCTCTCCATTTCACTCTCCTTTTCTCCCTTTCTTCTTGCTCATTTTTCCTCTTTTCTTTCCCTTCTCATCATCCTCATTGTCTCACTTTCCTCTCCACCCCTCCTTCTCCATTTTATCCCCCTCTTCCTCTCCATTTCACTCTCCCACTATTTTTTTCTTTCCCTTTCCTCTCTCTCCTCTTCCTCTTCATCTATTTTCTCTATCCCTACTCCCTCTTTTACTCTCCCTATTTCTTTTCCCTTCTCTTTATTCCTTTTCTTCTTCCTTTCTTTTCTTCACTTAATGCCCCCTCTCCAATACACAAGGAGCACTTCTGAATATTCTACTCATACATTCAAAATTGAGACATACATATATATTGTCTCAGTGTGCCTCAGTAGCAGGAACACCATGAGAGATTAACTTTCTTTTGTTAGCAAAGGAACTGAGTTCCAGTATAATGCTTTAGCATTGTCATTAAGGAGTATTTTAAGTTGGATGGGAGACCTAGTTTTGATATTTCCTTTAGCTGTAAGTGGAACGCATTTAGAGAATATTACCATAGTTTCACTATAGAAATTTTGAGCTATGTGATTAATTGGATGGGAGCCGAGTCATAAAACTCTTCAAAAGCATTGGAGAGATTTTGGATTAATTGCACTGACCAAAGCAATTGCTTGAGCTCTATATTTTTGGTCTTTTAAAAGCAGTTGACTATTCCTTGAATGCTAAAAGGTCCATAAGTGGAACCTGACCAGAAAGTTCATTTTTCTTGTTACTGATTTTGATTTAGATGCTCAGAGTGCAATAAATGCGGTTTTTTCCCCCTATTTGAAACATACAGTCAAATTATACTCAAACAAATGCTAAGGTTGTTTTACTTTGAAGTTGATTATCAATACTGATATAGTCTAAGGAGTTTGAATCTAATGCTTTTCTTTCTGAAAGGCATTGATAAAACACATTCCAAGTTTAGATTATTATATATCGTAGAGTGTGAGAGTATGAGGGCTAGAGGGCACACCAGGTGGGCAACCTTCATTACCTGGACTAGTTCAAGTCCATTACATTTAGCTGACCTGACCCACTAGGTTCTTCATTTTAAGTATAAGTATTGAATAGTAAAAGGAAGCCAAGTAAATGTTTACTGAGTTAAGATTTCAGGCTGGTTATCTCTGGTTCTCTCTTGTGCTGCTGCATACAATAGGAGAGAAAATTATCAGGGCCTGAAAATCAGTGGGCTTTTCTCTAGTATGGCAATTGTATCAGAGTAAACCTGAAATACTATTCTTATAGCCTTTAAAGTTTGCAAAGTGTTTTACTATGTAATCTCATTTCATTTATTAATGTATGTGGAGGTGAAGAGAGTGTCATGTTTCTTATCCTAAAATTATCTTAAATCTTGAATAAAATTATAGAAATTACTAATGTGAAGTCTATTTTATCTTTATGATATTAATATTATTCTACTTGTCTTGCTGACCCACGGGCTCATCTGCTGTCAATCTCCTTTCATTCACATATAGCTTTTTCATGCCACTGTAACTTTATTTAAAGGAACTAAGGACCCTACAAAACCCTATCATTATTCATTCAGTTTTAGACGTCGTAAAGCAAATTAGAGCATAATTAAATAAAGTATTTGTGGACTCTGTAGTTTCACTGTAGTTGTGGGTGCTCAAACCACATTTCCCTGATGTGTAGAATATATGAGTTGAAAAGCATATTCAAGGTCATCTAGTTCAACCCTTCATGTATTGGATGAGAATTCAAAGACTCAGGAAGGGAAAGTTATTTGTCCAAGGTCACCCAACTAGTCATTGGTGGAGCCCAGCCTAGAATGTTTTTCTTTTTATTCCTACTAAAGACAACCAGGACCATGGAGCCAGATGATTTGTATTCAAATCTTGCCTCTGACACTTACTGTCTGTATGACCATACACAAATAGTGTGACCTTACACAAGTAGTGTAACTTCTCTAAGCTTCAGTTTCCTCATCTCAAAAATGAAGGGATTGATGCAAACCTTTTGACCTAGCAATACCACTACTAGGTTTGTATCCCAAAAGAGATTAAAAAAAGGAAAAGGACCTATGTGTACAAAAATATTTATAGTAGCTCTTTTCTGAGGGCAAAAAATTAGAAATTGAGGGGATGCCCATCCACTGGGGAATGGCTGAACATGTTGTGGCATGTGATCATGATTGAATACTATTGTGCTATAAGAAATGATGAGCAGGATGCTCTCAGAAAGACCAACATGAACTGATGCAAAGTGAAATGCACTGTGTACAAAGTAACGGCAATGTTGTAAGATGATCATTTGTGAGTGACTTAGCTGTTCTCAGCAGTACAATAACTGAAGGCAACTCTGAAAGAGCTGTGATGAAAAATGCTATCCATCCCCAGAGAAAGAACTGATGTTGTCTGAATACAGATTGAAACATACTTTTTTTTAAACTTTATTGTCCTTGATTTTTTTGTCTGGTTTCTTTCACAACATGACTATTACAGGAATGTTTTGCATGACTGCACATGTATAACCTGTATTGAATTGCTTGCTTTCTTAATGGGGGTGGGGGATGGGGAAGGAAGAAGGGAGTGAATTTTTAAAAATAAATGTTAAAAATTGTTTTTACATGTAACAGGGGAAAAATAAGATACTAAATAAAATAAATAATTGAATAATAAAATTATTAAGGGACCATTAATTTTTTTTAAATGAAGGGGTTGCACTAGTTAACCTTTGAAGTTTCTTCATATTTCTAGATCTATGATCCTATGATTCTGATTCTTTGTGATTTCCATTATATTTGCCATGCTGCCCCCAATCAGGTTCCTCACAATAGTTTCATGAATCTTTCAGTCTGTACCTTTATACTCTTTTGTAAGAACAATATGAAGAACCATTTTAATTAATCTTCAGACAAACATTGCAATCTGAGAGTTAGATGACACCGTGTTCTGAATATCACAGATATTCCCACATGAGCCCACAGCCTCACTAGAATGGCTGATTTAGGATCTGGGAAGGCAGAATCAACTTGTTAATATATTGACATATTCAAGCTGGAGGGAAGTGGGTTCACCCATGAAATATCAAAAAAACTTGAAGCATTTTAGAAGGAAGCATGTACCATACAAATAATAGGAAGTAAGTACTGGTAGCCTGTCTCCTGAAACTATGCTGGTCTCCCTGTCTAAATCTCAAGTGCATTGTTGAGTTTGCAAACTTCTATCTTAACTTCTTGCATTGTGGTACACTAAGTCCAGCTTCCAATTTGGCCTGGCCTCTGGCTTACATCTACTTGGTTCCCTATTTGGACCCACCCATGTTCCCAGGTTATCCTCTGCAGGGGATATGGCACTCTTCTGTATTACTCTTATAACTGCATGGTAATACTGTAGTCATTAGATTAAATAAAAATCATAGGCATAATAACTTTTTTCTTTTTAAAAAAATTAATTTGCTTATTTTTAGTTTTCAACATTCACTTCTATAAGATTTTGAGTTCCAAATTTTCTCCCCATCTCTACCTTACCCCACCCAAAATTCTGTGCAATTTGATATAGGTTCTACATATGCATTTATATTAAACCTATTTTTACATTAGTTATGTTAAAAATAATTAGATCCAATGGGAGAAACCACAAGAAAGAAGAAACATAAAAAAGAAAAAAGAAAAAAAAGAGAAAGGGCAAATAATATGCATTGATATGCATTCATACTGCATTGTTCTTTTTCTGGATGAGGACAACATTTTCCATCACGAGCCCTTTGGAGTTGTCTTGGATCCTTGCATTGCTAAGAA